ATACATTACATACATTACATACTTTACATACATTACATACATTACATACATTACATACATTACATACATTACATACATTACATACATAACATACAATACATACATTACATACATTACATACATTACATACATTACATACATTACATACATTACATACATTACATACATTACATACATTACATACATAACATACATAACATACATTACATACATAACATACATAACATACATAACATACATAACATACATAACATACATAACACACATAACATACATAACATACATAACATACATAACATACATAACATACATAACATACATAACATACATAACATACATAACATACATAACATACATAACATACATAACATACATACCATACATAACATACATAACATACATAACATACATAACATACATAACATACATAACATACATAACATACATAACATACATAACATACATAACATACATAACATACATAACATACATAACATACATAACATACATAACATACATACATACATACATAGATACATACATACATACATACAGACAGACAGACATACATACATACATACATACATATCCCAGTTGGGATGTTGATCCAACTTGACCTATATTTTCCAGTTGGGTGCAAACCTACCAATCCTCCTGCAGGTCTTGCTGGTGGACAGGCTTCCAGCTGGCAAAAAGAAGGCCTGTCCACTGGGGATTGAAGCGACAAACTTTTGGATGTAGCATGATTGTATCATGATTGAACATGTAGGAAAAGAACGGGGTTCAATTTATAACTAAGGTCAGACTTGGGGTTGGGAAAATTGATGGTTGGCCGCCATATTTGAGGCGGTATGACTACGTCGTTTCGGGGTAAGATTTTCCCCTTGAATGAATGCGGGTTTTGTCCAAAGATGGGGGCACCCCAGAATACTCCCAAAATAAACATTTCAACTCCACACCAGGGTAGGTTCAAAGTTTGATTAGCATCCCAAAAGAGAGGTGCCGCACAGGCACCACAAGTTGTTTTTTGTTGCTCTTTGCCACAATTTTCCGACCATCCAACTGATCCGTCGCAGGCAGTTACGGAGGGACATGTTCAAAACCCAGGCGGCAAAGTTTCACAAGAGAAACCTAAAACAGACTTCTCTCCGGCTGGAACCTGAGAAAAACTGTGTTGCCCCAAGAAGATCTTTAAATTGGAGTTTCATGGCAGTTTCTGGTGGGACGGTTTCAACATGTTTCAACTATTGGATCAAACTTGGTGGTTTCAAAATCTTTCAAACATTTCTATACATGTCTCACTTCCCCAACAATTAGGATGATTATCCTCCAGTGACCCATAAAAAATATCCAAGGTGGTGCCGCAGAACCAGCAAGACTCGTTGCTTGGAGATGGCTGGGTGAGTTTGGGATTCGATGGGGCGATGGGGTCTGTCCAGAAATGGGAGACTGTAACATGACTTAGCCCCAACGTATATCAATTTATGGCAATTTCGATGGAACATTATGAACATTTAACTATATTTAACTACAGACCACTGGATGGACTTGGTGAATGTACTCAATTTTGGTGAACATTTGTGCTTCTTAAGTGTTGAAGGATGGTTTACTTTGGCCGACTTCGGCATTAAGAAAAAGACGGCAGAGGGCAAACTTTGTCGCAAGGCCATGGAGAGAGTGAAATGTCAGGGATGCAGTATCATTTATAGCCATTCCCCACATCACGATTTTTGAATACCCTCCAGAAGCTGCCGCTTTGGTCTTGGATCATATTGGATCTATTCATTTTGGGGGCCCATATGGGGGGTATTTCATATGGGGATGGGATTGGACTTTGCCCAGCTCAGCCCATGTCGGGCACGAGGCTCGAGAAGCAGGACGGTCGGTGGGGAATGGATTGGATGATTGGATCATGACCTTAGGATACCTTAGGAATCATGACCTTAGGAAACATTCATTGGATTGGTAAACCATTAGGTTGACGGGAAAAATGAATAAACATGATAGAAACCCCCCATGATCTGAATGGTCAAAACATGTCAAAACCCATGAAACATCAGCCATTTTTTTTGGGGGATCCGATCGGCCAGGAACGGAAGAATGAGATGCCGTCAGGTGCGATCCGTGGGAACCGGTGCTGGGCTTCGATCTCAAGATATGGAAAGAATATGAGTTCGAATTATCCTCAAACATCCATTCGAATTCATTCGAGTTTGATGTTCTTCATCTTCACCAGGTAATCTGGGATAATCAATCAACCACTGTCTTTGCGGCTTGAACATCTATGAACTATCTTGAAATGTAGGATGGTCATATATTGATCATCAGCGTATATCAGCGTGGCAGTGACACTGGCCAGGTCCCAAACTGAAGCACCGTTCCAAATCGACGCAGAACTATCTCGACCCAAAGAATCAACGTAGGGCATCTCAGCCATGGGCGCCGGGCCGACAGGGCGGGTAACTTGTTTCCGCGTGATGAATCCGATGGCACCAGATGAAGCCAGATCACGGATATGGATTTTATGGATGTATCATGTTTACACACACACACACACGCACGCACGCACGCACGCATTACACATATATATATATACATAATCATATATATGTGTATACATACATACAGATACTTACACACGTAGACACAGACATAGACATGTATAAATATACATAGACATATACATATGCATAGACATATGCAGCACACATAGACATACACATAGATATAGACATATACTTATCTTACACATATAAACATACATATATATATATATATATTTCTTTATTATATATATATGTATATGTATAATAATACGCTGTGCATACATATATACATATCTATATGGGTGATGCAGGCTACTTGTATTTCATAGCTTCCTTCAGACTCGCCCCGCAGTCTCCTTGGAGAGTCGACGGGCTTCAGAGCGGCTGGTGATGCCATCTGAACTTCCAGATTCACCCCGACGTCGCTTGGTTTCGAATGGTTAACCGATGCGATGTTTTCAAATGTTTTGTTTTTACGGATCAAAAGGCCTAAGTCTTAGGGCCTAAGTGAACATTAAACAGCGATTTCTGTTTGGTATTTTTGATAGATATGGACGTTTATTGCCAGACATAGTTTAGCATACAGGCATACTTATTGGTTGTGACCCATATCCATATTCAGGTTTGGCTCCAAAAGGGCACACGTGGAACAGTGATGATTTATGCGTCGTGTTTTCGGTCAGTTTCAGAATGAACCCCCGTGACGCCATCCCAAAAATTGGGGCTGTTCAGGAATGTTCAGGACCTCAGTTGAAAAAAATGATACAAATTGACCGTTTGCCTGGAAGAAACCATAAGAAACCTCAAGCGCCAGATCCATTGCTTTCTATGCTCAGGTGGCACAGGTGATACTGGGCAGAGTGGTGGCGGATCCTCACTGAAGGTCCAGAGATTTCGGAGTTTGGATCTCAGTAAGCCATTGCCATCAAGCTAAGTGGGGATGGGGGGGTAAGATGGTTTAAGGAGGGGCCCAGAACCTGGAAACTATAGAATTATCTATAATAATGATTATATATATATATATCCGATCAGATGGGGTACGTCTGTCTAGAGAAATAAAAGCCTTAACTAGGTGGAATGCACATCCAGGATGACTCAGCCTGATTCGTCACATGTGATAAGGCCTGGACAATATTGGAAGTCAGGGGCTGAGTCGCAGGGAGAGGTTCCGATGATGGTTGTCATTGAGCCATGATTATCATCGTTAACCAATGATGGTTAATGATGGTTAGTGATAGTCAACGATTGTTAATGATGGTTAGTGTGGTTTAGATGGTTTAGAAGTGAATGTTTTGATGTTTGCCACGTGGTCACTCTGTCTTTCCCATGCTTCCATGCAGCCACCGTTTCTCAAGAACATTGCAGTAGCTGGCTTGGTTCCACATGCATACTTATACATGTGCACATGTGAGTGTGCATGGAACTTGCGGCAAGAAACATGAACAAGTCCAGCTTGCAAGCAATTTCGTAAGCGGTTCCAGGATCTTTGGAGTCAAAGCTTTGGCATATCGGGTCATATCGGGTCATTGCCATGTGCCATGAGCGTTTGGGATGTTCTGACCCTTCCTGGCTTACTGCCCAAAATCTTCCATTTGGCTGGGACCTGGGCTGCGCGGCGCTGCACGACCTCCTGTCGCTACGGCCTGGAGCTGTTGGGCCCCGCGGTGCAGGAGATCCAGCAGCTGTTGCCCCGCAGGGTGCTGGTGATTGGTGGCCATTTTGGTCGGGGCCATGGACCCCATGAGCCGCTGAAAACGGCGGAGCTGTTTGATCCTGGAGGAGAAGCCTGGGAAACCATGCCTGGTCCACAAGTACCTCGGAGCCATAGCACAGCTGCGGCATGTCGAGGGGTGGTATTTGTACTGGGTGGTCGGGATTCTATGGATTGCACCTTGAATTCGGTGGAGTCCTTTGATTTCAGCAGCTGCCAGTGGGTAAAGATGCCAGCATTGAGGGCTGCAAGGCACAGTGCTGCAGCAGTGTGTTTGGGAGAAAGCTTGTTTGTCATGGGAGGCTTTGACGGCCTAGAGGCACTGGACTCGGTGGAACGCATAGATTGCCAGACCCTTGAGCATCACGGATGGATGCCTGTACAATCCTTATCCTTTCCGCGAGGCAAACATGCTGCAGTCGCCTTTCAGAGGCAAATTTTCCTGCTGGGTGGCATGGATAGTGGTTACAGATGCTTGGTATCAGCCGAGGCCCTGCCATTGATTGGTGCATGTCAAAGCACATGGGCAAAGCTGCCGAATCTTCGTTTCGCCCGCAGTGAATGTGCTGCCTCCGCCGTTGCGGGTGCGGTGGTGGTCATTGGGGGCGTGGCCAACGGCTGGACTACGCTGTCGAATGCTGAGCGCTTCGAGCCAGCTGTGGGGCACTGGGAGGTGCTGCTGGATATGGCCATCATCCGCAGGGACTGCGCCTCCGCAGCCGTGGCCGGGGAGCTGTACGTCATGGGCGGCATGTCCTTCGGTGGCCGCTGCACCTCTAAGGTGGAACGGCTGGAGCGGCTGGAACGGCCGTGCGACTGCTGGCAAGATGTGGCGCCACTGCCCGGACCACGCTGTGGATGTTGTGCTGCCACCATCCAGTTGTAAGGGTCGATAAGGGTCGCTACAAATGAGAAACTCATGGAGCTGAACCTCTGAAGACGGGCCCGCTACCTCTCTTCGTTAAAACCGTGGACTTCTGGCATCTTCTGGCAGGTTTGCATGGTTTTCATATTCAGGTTGGTATCACTTAATATTTTTTTGAAATGCAAAAGATGCAGATAGTGATGATAGTGATCATGGTGATGCTTCAATTCCGCAACTGCGGTGTGCCTGGTCCCCAAAAATCCCTGGCCAAAGTCAGCAGGGCTTGATTGCGCTGACCACTTTGGGGAGGTTTGCCCCCAAGGGACCAACCTCTGGTGATCTGCGGTTAAAGTCTTGTGTATCGTTTTTCTTGTTGCAGTGCGTCAAGTCCTGAGGGCGTTGGGTATTTTGAATATTCTGGGTAGGATCAGATCAAAGTGCGAAAGTTTTTGGGATTGTTTGAGCATTTTTGAAGCGTCAAAGTTGAAGGATTTGGTTGCAGATATGCTGTCATTCCAGGTCCTCGCACTGGCAAGGCCGGATGGATTCTGGAAGTGGGATGGTTTTGAGTGATGCAGCAGGGCTGAGGACATTCTCTTGTGGGACATCGCACATAGCAGGCATGAGCAGTGTTCAAAACCCGGGATTATAATAACCCAATAGGGGAATCCCAAGCAGAACTGCATTTGTTGCACTCAGTTTGGAGCTGAGAGCGTTGGGTCGGAGCCTCATCGCTGCAGCCACGCGTGGAATCCACACGCCTAAAAAATCCTTCCCTGGAAAGCAAGGGTATAGCAGTATATATAGCCGGTATAGTATTGGATCCATTCATTTGGCCCCCTTGGAGCTATCTAGGCATGGCTTTACCGCTGGTCGGTTCAAGGCATTGAAAGGTGCTGAGAAGGACTCCAGTTCGGATTTCAATAGCTGATGGATATTGATGGATCCTGACTGGGCCCCTGCAAAGACCCCGCTAGACATCACTAGACATTATTTTTTGGGTAAGTTTTCAAGCCAAGCCATTCGACTGCCGGTTAGCGGGTGCCGCATTTGGCAGCCATGGTCCCTTGGCCCAAATTCGGGATGTCTGGATGGATATTTGTTGCACGGAAGACAGATTTTAAAACCCATTTTAAAGTGGACATGTCGCTAGCCGCTAGCTGCTAGCAGAACAGAACAAAGACGTGTCTATGGCACCTTTCTACACTAATGATCGATGCTCACAAATCCACGACTTTTGATTTTTTGATGGCATTTGAAAGCCTCATCGGTATGATGCCATGCAGATTCCTCAGGTGGATCAGATGATCAGTAGCCAACTGGGCTCCTTGAACACTGCAGCCCCAACGGGGCCTGTTTGGCGAGAGCCGAAGCTGGAGCAGATGAAGGAGATGGAAGAGGGCAAGAAGGAAGCAGATGAACTGGCCCCAATGTACATGGAAGGGTCACTGAACCGCAACCTTTCCTGTTTGGACTGCAATGGGTTTGGGATTGAATGGGATTGAATGGGATTGAATGGGATTGAATGGGATTGAATGGCCCTACTGCTGCAGATAGTGTTCTCTTAGCTTCTTCCAACATTTCCACAGTTTGCAGTTAAGGCGAACAGTGCAGATGGCGTCCCAGCCATGGAGACAGCGAGTTCCAATGATCGTGGCTGGAGTTCTTTTGCTGGGCATCGCCGTGCTCCTTTTTTCCCAGCTGGCCAACGAGCAGGCGGCAGCACCGGCGGCGCCGGCAGCCAAAGGTACCAGTGAAGCTATGGCAACTGGCCGTGGCCCTAGAAGTCCAGTGGTTGGTCTGAAAGTCTTTCAACACCTGAAGAATCCAACATTCTTGCCATATTATATACCCTCAGGTAATTTAACATAGCTATGGAAAATCACCATTTTTCATGGGAAAATCCACTATAAATGGTGATTTTCATTGATTTTCCATAGTTATGTTAGTTTACCAGAGGGTACTGTAATTTTGACATGATCATGGTGGGGAAGGCTTTGCTGCTGTTCCTGACTTCGGCCGAACTTTCATCAACTGTTCAGGTCTAGCGCCCAACGCCACAGAGAAAGCATCTCAGTCTGCGAGTGAAGTAGTTCCAGCTGCATTCACTGGCACGGCATCAGCCTCAGGTCTGGAATCAGACATGTACCGTCTAAGAGTGAAGCGTTTTTTGCTGAAGGCTATCGTTAAAAGATGAAGCAAGATGAAGCAAGTACAGTTATATACTTCCCAACATCGATTCGTACCATCAAGTGCGTTGCTGGATGATTTTGACCCCACTGCCGTGATTCAGGTGTCAGTGGTTTCAATCTGTGCTGAGGTAGCTGCCAACTCCAGCAATCGCACCAATGAGACCATCCAAATGAATCAGACAAATCAGAGCAACCAGAGCAATCAGACGAGTGACCCTGGTCAGATAGCAACTTGACTCATCGGAGCAGTCTGGCGCTTTTTGTCGAACCCTGACATGACTTGATGACTTGATATACCAATGAGGCAAACTACAAAGCATCCTGCCCAACACTCGTGAAATTGCATGGTGCATGCGTTGGGTGCCTCAGACATGCCAAACATGGTGCTGAGAGGGCTAGAAATCTGCTATTCTGATCTATTCTGAGTAGCTGAGTAGCGTTTAGTGCTTCGGTGAGGATTATGACCTCTCAGTGGATGACACGACCTTGCCAGCGCACACGCTGGTGCGGCTTGTTTGCCCAGATGAGTGTCAAATCCTGGCGCCTCGGTTGGAGATGGCTGCTGTATGAATTGACCATCGAGTTTGTGGGATATTGTGGGCATTTTCCCTATATATATATATTATATATAATATGATATATATATATATCACACACACACACATATATATATACTATACCGAGTTTGTGTGAACATGATGAAACGCTGCAAAAAAGTGAGGATCGGTATCAGAAAATCTGCCCTTCTTTGCTCAAGTTGGAGGGTGGCTGTGCCCGGCACCTCAGATTCACGGACTTTTCAGTAGGGAAACTGAGGCCGGGCATATTGCCATTCTCGTCACACCTGTGAGATACTGTACTATGTAACAGTTACTCAAACTATATAATTACTCATACTAGTACTATATAGAATTTCATGGCATGTGTCATGTGTGTATATAGATATGGAGTTAAGATGATGTATACCCACACACACACACAGTGTATATATATATAATTATATATATATACACTGTGTATTAATTTGTATCATGATGTATATGTGACGATGATGTATGACATATGTGCCGCAAACTTCGATCTTGCTGCCATGTCAGGCCCATGACCTGGCGTTGGAAGAGAAGACCCTGCCGCAGGGGAGCTTCGTGCGCTTAATCTGCCAGGAATGTGGGGGTCCCCATGCGGCCCACGCCTAGGCAGCTCTTGACCAAAATGGATGGTGTCTTATTGATCCCACCTTGGATTAACTGTTGATATACATACATACATACATACATACATACATACATACATACATACATACATACATACATACATACATACATACATACATACATACATACATGACATACATACATACATACATACATACATACATACATACATACATACATACATACATACATACATACATACATACATACATACATACATACATACATACATACATACATACATACATACATACATACATACATACATACATACATTTGAATCCACTTATTGATCGATTGATTGGTTGATTGATTGATTGATTGATTGATTGATTTGATCATTTGATACTTTCGAGACACACGTTCCAATTTTTGGCCTCAACCCATGTGGCAATGGGTCAAGATATGTCTATTCTGCGGTAAGGGACCCGCTGAAATGCCTGATCATTCTTGGAATTCATCAATTTGCGGTTGTTGGATGTGGTTGGTGCTCTTGATCTATAAATTGAATATATTAATAAAGGCCAAACCACACGAATGTATGTAGCCTCAGCAAGTTCCAATTTTTGGCCTCAACCCATGTGGCAATGGGTCAAGATATGTCTATTCTGCGGTAAGGGACCCGCTGAAATGCCTGATCATTCTTGGAATTCATCAATTTGCGGTTGTTGGATGTGGTTGGTGCTCTTGATCTATAAATTGAATATATTAATAAAGGCCAAACCACACGAATGTATGTAGCCTCAGCAAGATCATGCACCTGATTTTTTCGTGCGCCCAGGGTATATGCATACATGTAGGGTACAAGTGTGTGCGTGCGCCTGAAACTATCTCTGTACCGGTTGTCGCTGCTGTATGCTGCTGTGGGATCCTAAGATTGTTTGGGAGCCAAGGTCAAGAAGAAAGCACAACCGCCATTCCCACAACCCTTGCCAGCACATCGATGGCCAGCCAGGAACAGGCGCTAAATTTGACCCCTTGGGGCAATTTGACCCAAGGTCGAATTTATAACAAGGCATAGAATGTTGGTTTTGCATGGTTTTACCGTCTTTGATATCACTAAAAATATTGCATTCTATTGAATCTATTGCAACTGTAACTGAGATGGTGGAATGATGACATCGGCATGCACTGAGTTGCGGCATTTTGTATGCTACCTGTCATGATTAGTGGAAATCCATATCGCCTGCGAACACGTCACTCCCAGGTGAGCCTGGCCCCGCTGGCCGAACGACCAACCTCGCCTCGGGCTGTGCCTCCGCCGGAAACGGCGGCAGTTGCCCAACCATCCATCAAGATCCGGCCGTCCAGGCGGCTGGGTATCCAATTGGAAGGGAAGTTTTGATTTATAATCCCATCAACCTATTCAACCAATCAATTGGATATATATATATATATATAATATGGGTATCTCATCAATTGGTTGGGGATGGGTATCCAATTGGCTGACTTGTAATATTCATGTCGTTTTGATTTATAATCCCATCCCCATCCCCCTGTGAAACACTCCCCATGGAACCATGGTCTGATGTGGAAATCCTCCATTAAGCCATGGTTTCTGGGGGAAAAAACCTGGGTGCCCCTTGGATTCAGAGGGAAATTCTATGGTTTGGTCAATTGTGATGCTGCTGTTTTTTTCTGGCAGGTGGCTGGCATACGTGGTATCTTTTGCGGCGACCATGGCATCTTGAGCTTGGGGTGGTGGCGTTGGGTGACAAAATGATGAGGGAATATGGGGGTCTCCATAGTCATGGGGGTACCCTAAGATGGATGGTTTATAATGGAAAGTAATACTAAAATGGTAGAGAGAGGGGTACCCCCCTTTTAGGACACCTCCATATGAGTGAGATATTTGGTGTTGGTTTTCAATTGCGAACGACGGTTGGGAAACGGTTTGACACAACAAGATTTTGCTGCAGTTGAGTTCGGCGTTTGTCCCAAGCAGCCCGGCCTGCATAGGGAATCGCCAAGAATTCTGGGCTCTTGAACCGTGACCCCCAACGCCATCAGGCTTGGTCAGACCTGCTTTTCCCCCATGAGATTTTATGGGATTCTTATTGCCATTCTTATTGAATTGGTTCCTACAGATTCAACAGCCACAATGAATGTTCCTCAAGACCAGCTGTGATGAGGCATGGGCTGGGCTATGCATGCAGGAGTATGGCTGGCTGCGAGCTCTAGGGCGGGGGAGTGGCTAGTGTGGTCGCTCTGACGTCAAGCCGGGAGAGCCGGGCTCTTTGATTTGCCGCCAGGTTTTGCTTGTCATCCAGAATCTGGAGATGACAAGAACCAACAAACTGGCACAATGGCATATGTTGGAAAAGTAAACCATTGAATTGGGTAACCCTTCATTTTCGAAAATTATAGACAATGATATATATTGTGTATATATATATATATTTATTTATATCACACACACATACACACACACACACACATATATATATATATATACATACACATACACGTGCCGATGTGTCCCAAGGATCCTCATATTTGTTTTAAATTCAATTTTCTATCTGATGGTTTGCAGGCTCGGCATTTGCGGCAGGGGACTTCCTTTTTTATCAGGTCCAAGACGTGGCCTGGTGCGCAGCAAGTTTCACCGAAATTGGGCTCAAGTACAGAACGAAAGAGCTCAGAAGCATTCGAATGAGAAAGGACCTAAGGAGCATGATTTAGTTAATTTAGTTGCTGTGTCATGGCCCTGGATGGATTGGAAAGGATCTCAGAACAGAGAGGCAGAACCTCTCATATCTTGGAAATCGCTCAGAACCCTTCTCTGGCACCAGAAACCCTAGATTCACCGAGACAGTATCGAGACAGTATCGAGACAGTAGGGGGTGGTGCAACCTTGACCACCTTTGCAGAGAGAGAGAGAGAAGGCATTCGTTGGAGCATTTTTGGGTTTATGGATGACTTCACTTTCTATATGCTTGGAATGGGTTGGAAGTGACGCAAACGGAAAGGGTGGGCTGAGGCTTGGAGGCTTGCAGGAGTCTGGGGACTCCATTCGGATGAGCGTCGCAGCCTGCCTGATGCAAGTCGGGCACCGAGATTTCCGGGTGATGTATGTGATGAATTATTTACAGATACATATTATCATATTGTATCATATTGTGATATCACATGATTCATGTGACTTGATTTCAAAATGAAAATACAGATGACTTAACACTCTGATTTATATATGATTTATCATCGGGAAAATGACGATAAAACATGGAATTTGGGGTACCCTATTTCGAGACAAACCCAATCCATGGCTATATGATGCTATATGGCTGTTCTGCTGTGGACAGGGTATGGTTGGCATTTTCAGCCGTCAAGCAGCAGTCCAGGCCTATCGTGGCGGTAGCAAAAGGCTCATCGATTCAGGCAGGTTGCAACAGGTACCCCCAGTTATCATCCATATTTTTGGTGATTTTCCATGATAAACAATCCAGCTATTGGGATAGCCCGATGACTCATGATGTTTCCCCCAATTCTTCATCGGATTCGAATCGAACATGGCATTCATAATGAGGGCATCGGATTCATCAATTGAGTCTGAGGGTGAGTTGACATTTATTGGTTAGCCATGGAAAGTCACCATTTTTCATGGGAAAACTCACTATAAATGACCATTTTCAATAGCTATGTTAGTTTACCAGAGGGTAAACGGGAAAACAGATGATTCATTTCCAGTGACCGGAAATTATGGAATTCCAGCGACCTTTACTTGCCTCAGCTTGCCTGGCTGGCCTGATATCTTGAAAAAATCCCTACATGTTCATTGGCTGACTGCCATTGAAGGAAGTAGTATTGCATAGTATTGCCAATTTCAGCTGTTTCTCATGTCATTTTGTTTCTCCAAAGCAACTTTCTTCTTTTCAACAAATGCCATTGATTTTTGTTCATATTTTTTCAAGACCTACCTGGAACAGGACCGAAATGGCTATACCTATGGCATCCACGAATTTCAGCCGTGAAAACATGGCCAGGCTTACCGGGCCAAAGTCGTAGCATGATGAGCCCTGACAACTCCTATGCCTTGGCGCGGAGACCTGGACGATCTTCACCCAGTTTCGAAAAACCCAACCCGGGGCCCACGGGAGCACCAATTCTCATGGGTGATTCAAAATAATTATATATATATATACACATAATACATCATTTTAGATCATCATCATCATCATCATCATCATCATTTTATATATACACATTTGTATATGTTTTTGTGGGGTAACCCCCCAATCAAATTTATCATTATGATGGGGGGTAACCCTTCAATAAAGCAATCTATATCCATATTTGTAAGATTTCCAATCATCGAATCCATTGACATGATGATCGTCATTGATTGCCATGCCATGGTCAAAACATGGATAATTTGGATATATACCCTCTGATTATTTAACATAGCCATGGAAAATCACCATTTTTAATAGGTAAACCATCTATTTCTATGGGCCATCTATACCATGGCTATGTTAAATAATCAGATGGTAACCATTTTCTATCATTTCTGGCAAATGGGGGGTGGTCATCAATCCACTACATGATAGGGGCACCTATTGTCATCTGTAATGGTTGCTCTATGTCATCAATACTACAGTTTTACACCACACTATTATTGTTATTATATATTAATTATATATTATTACTATTTTATTACCAATATTAATATTACCAATATGACTATCACTTTATTACTCCTATTGTTATTACCAATTCTGTCTATCATTTGTATTATTCATGTTATTCTGATCGGACCATTACCAATATTACTCTTACTATTGTACTAGTATGACTCTTAGTAATATATTAATTAATCATATTAGAACTATGTAATAACTATCGATTATTATACCATAATATAACATATTTAACAATTATTACTAGTTGTTATATTGTACTAGTTATTATATTGTACTATTATCTTACTATTATAACATATTTATCCTCATTGCCATCGATTTCATCCTCGTCCTCCTCTCATCTCCTGACCAAGACGTGCCAGGGCAACTTTGCAGAGAGCTTCGGTCAACAGCCGCGACTTGGACGACGCTGTCGTGGATCTCAACGCTGTAACGCTTGTTGTGGTTATAGTTGTGGTTGTGGTTGTTTTAGCATGAACATTCCATAACATGTGAACCTACCTATATCTATATATCATTATATATCTATACCATTCTATACCATATTTGGAGCTTTTGGGATTCTCTGGGCTACAGTTTCAAAGAAATTGGATGGCTCAGCCAACATTGACGTGTGAGGTCCGATGATGCCTTGCTCCCAGCACAAGACATACGCAGAACTCATCGTCCGATCATTGGATGGTGATCCACTGAGGCCTTCCGGCGCTTTGTCTGGCTCTCGGCATCTGTTTGTCGAGGGTACTACCTCGGTCACACTTTAACCCATGACGGATCCATGGTGCTGGTATATATGCTATTATATGCTAACATGACTGGGGTATATTCCATGGTAAATGTTACCATATATGCCAGCACCATGGATCCGTCATGGGTTAAAGTGTGTCTGGGTGGCCCTGATGATTTGCTGCTCAGCTGGTGGATGTAGCCTCCCGGCCTACCAGGCACACCATTCGCCCCCATCACCTGCTGCACTGGCTGGAACAAGGTGGGAAGGGGATGAGGCACCCAAAGGGGTATCCAATGTATCATAATGTATCCATGTCTTGAATTTTACCTGAGCTAGAAACCGGAATTGTCTTGGGGTATTGAAGAAAATTGAACATGTTGGCAATGATTAAGATCGATCGTGTTTTTTTTTCCATGGAACTTCCCCAATTCTGCGATCTAGGAGGCCGCAAGTCTTGTCCCGTGGCAGAACAATTTTCAAAGAATGTGGAGTGAACATTTCACTGGGTTCATCAAGGACATCTCAAGGACATTATGATACATTAGTTTTACCATGTTTTAGCATGGTTTTTCCCATGTTTTTATCGTTTTTTTCGCACTCCCAGCGGTTCCTCCACGAATTTGTCGCTCAGAAACCCTCAGAAACCGCTGCAGATCTGGAGCAGCGGCCTCATCCAGCAGTGGGACCCCGTTCAATGGGAACGTCATGGCGCTGCAGATACAGGCAGGCAGTCAAGGCATGCGAGTGGGGGCACCCGAAGGAGCTGGCTGGCAGCTATGGTGAGGTTGCTGAGTCTAGCTGGTTGATGATGTTGAGGATGTTGAGGAAGCGAAGATGGTTCTGTTGTTTTTTGGGGGACCGTTCATCGGAATAATCGGCGTCGAAATTGATTCAAAGATTTCGATCTGACAAAGTCGAGAATCCTAGTTGGATGCTGTATGTTTTTTTTGATGTTTTTTGCCGACAGATGATTCGATTGGAAGAAGCTGTTGGTCAGAGGAACTCAAGACCTACCTTCCTGCCATCAGCATCTATTGCCAAGGTTGGCCATGTTCCTTCCTTTGCAAGCCCTGGATCGTCTCTAAAGGACGAGGTGGCGTAGCTGCAGCTGAATGGATAGATTGGAACAGCCAAAAGGTAGTGAGGCGTGTTGAAAGGTATTCTTAGAAGTTCGCACTTCTGAGCTTGTTTAATATTTTGTTTATTCAGTGTTGAAAGTACTTTCCATTATATGCCATTGTATTTTCTCTCCTTTTCGGCAGATGTTGTGACACTGCCAGGACCACCAAAAAGAGATTGCATCTGTAGCATAGGGCAGTCAGTGCAGGGTTGATATGGGTTAAAGATAGTCAAAGGTCTCTAAACGTATGTGTATGGTTCAAAATTGAGCACAAAGAACGAACTTGATACTTAGCAGTCAATGATACATGATGAATAAATTGATTAACTCTACTTGTAAGACAAGTTCCCCCCAGCAACTGAGGATTAAGATATGACAACATATAGAAATACCAGCTCCGTCCCTTTCCGAAGTGGCTGGGCCATGGAGGGGCCATGCTGGGCGCAGGTCAGGGAGCTACCGGATTTGCCGGCGAAACTGCCTGGAGCACTCTCGGACTACCATTCCCATTCCCCATCTGCGTGAGGTCGTGTTGATTCGTGTTGGTTGATGAAACTCGTAACCGGAATGGGACATGAAACATCATGAAACTCGTAGATGTTAACATATGTTAGCCGCTAAGCCTTTAAGGGGAATCATCCAAAAATGGCTACAGTATGTTTTTGAGTTTGTCCGAGACCTTGCCCAGAATCATGGGTCAACATTGTAAAACCATGGTAGGAATACAATAGTCAATCAATGTAATTCAGAAATCACAGTAAATCCATGTAAATCCCCCATTAGCATGATTCAGAAGAAATTGGAGCTGCCACCAAATTTTACAGAAGTGGATTTAAGCGACTCTTCTGCATCTTTTTCCGGAATTCTACGGGAATTATATAACATTGTATAACACCGAGTTAAAGATGTGAATTTGACAGCAGCTAACATGGAGATTTACCACCACATACTTGTGTGTTGAGAACGTTGTTGATTTTGATGGCAGGATCACCTAGGATCATTTGACTCCAATATGCGTGTTAAGTGTTAGTGTTATTATTTCCCATCATCTTGGTCCATTTTTGACGACCCTACGCGGGTAGTGGTAGCGTCCCGAAGGGACGCTTGCGGAATTGCATCACGCGTGGTCATGCCTCAGCGGTGACAAGGCATGGAGTTCTCATGGCCATTTCATGCCATTTCTTCGGTTGGCAAATAGCGTAGGCTACGGAGATCCATTCCACATGGTTCAGTCATGGTTCCACTGGCACCGCTCCCCGAGAATCCAGGACATCCAAGATTCAATGCCCAAAGGTGTTGAACTTGAGAAGGGCCTCAGGTGTAGCCCAAAAATAGGGACAGACCGACATGTTCGACGGGACAGAATCGTTCGCGGATGTGCTTGAAGGAGAGTCAGCCAAAAGGTTGAAAGATCACGACAAGGGCCGGTGATGTGAAAAAAGAAGCCGCAACCACAGACAGTGTCACAGGCTGGGAGGTAGCTTTTGCAGAGCTTGCGTAAAAACTGTCAGGTCACAATCACAGCCTCGAAGCTTGAAGAGGTTGCATGATAAATGCTCTCGCCTGCGTTGCCATTTTACATCCACCTTGATTGGTAGCAGGGCCTGCCGGGTGTCATCATCTTTCTGCCACTTCTTCAGGCGGAAACGTACTGCAAGGTTCAAGAATGGGGCACCAACAGCCGCTGATCAGTTGGGGGATTGTACATGAATAGACAATCCATTTTTATATTATATGTTTATCCTCAGCTCTTGGGCTTCAATAATTTTAACATATTTTAACCATACCAAAATATACCAAGCGATGACGATGATTTTGGCTGGAAGAAGGAGTTTATCTTGAAAGCACCTGACAAGAATCATCCAAATGATCCAGGCCTTATCCTTGCTTGGACAAACATACGCTTTGAGCAGTTTCCAAAACCCTGGCATTGGTTAAACATGGTCAAACTAGGTTCCCGTGCTATAGCCGGCCGTGTGGAAGTGTTGCCGGCTTCAAAATCTCACGTCAAAGTAGGTAGCTTGGTGACTGCATGTGGTTCACAGTAGAATTCGAGGCATTACCATTATTTCCATTTATTTCCCTTAAAAGCTTCATTTCGATCATGGTAATCTTCTCTTAACTTGAGCCTTCCCTAGTTTTAACATCATGACTCAGGTTATCCTATGTTTGTTCCACGTGTTTGCAGAAGTTTATGCGGATTACTTTTCCCGTGGCTCCAACGACCTCAAAATCAACTAGTGTTTCCATGTTTTAGCTATTTGCCAGCCGGCAAAGCTGTCAGTTTCTGCAGAAACTCAGCTGAAGTCAGGGCAGGCAGTTTCTGCAGAATCCCAGCAACAAGAACGTAGTAGAAAGTTATGTGACAAACTCAAGAGCGTAGCAACAAGAACGTAATGCTATAAAAGGTTTGAGAAAATCAAGAGCATAGCAATCAGAACGTAGTAGAAAGTTGTGTGACAAACTCAAGAGCGTAGCAACAAGA